ATGTATGAGAAAGATTAACCAGAATAAGTCATACCCTTGCGAAAAACAAGCACACTTTAGCATACTTAAAAAAAAAAAAAAATTTTATGGAAATAATATAATTTAAAAGAATATACTTAAGTGCAAACGGAATGCAATGCTTTCAAACACTTAATAGCATCATATATTGATATACTTACAAGAAATGAAAATGTGTTTTAGTTTAAATGTATATTGAATATATTTGGTTGAACTTAACTGTGATTTTTAACTGAGTACTTTACATATGCTTTAGTATGTTAGTCAACACATTAAAATGACTGAACTTCTTTAATGCATGACAAGATTATTAAAACATAATCATTTAAAATGTACTTTAAAGTAAAACCTTTAATTTGACATGAAAAGGTGAACTTTTTAAAAGTGTATTAAGAAACGTAGTCATGAAAGTGTACACTCTTAAGCTTTTATTTCATAATTTATATTATCTGCTGTTTTTTTTTTTTTAAATGTACTTTTTATACGATTTAAAATACACTACAAGTGCACATTAATACAATTAAGCACACTTCTTTTTCCCAAATATGTCCAGGTCCATAAACATAAAACCTCTCTAATGTGTAAATTATGAACATAAACACATTGTTCTTACTCTAGATGAGAAAACAAACTAAGATTCCAACGTTTTTTTGACATTGTTTGTACTACATGTGAAATTGTCCATGGGGTAGAAGTGTATGCTTATTCTTTTGTATTTGTAAGTTTATTCTCTTTAAATTAATATGTATTGACAGGGACGTGCACAGGCATTTTGAGGGGCAGGGGCTCAAGTGGAAAAAAGGGCACTTCTCATATTTAAATTTTTTTCTAAACAAAATGTTAAATATATTAGGGGTGTGCAGTATTATATCTCAATATTTTCCGGGATTTTATCGATAAGGATAATTAGATGATATTTTGCTGAGTGTATTATTGTGCTGATATCTTAAGGACTACCGTGGACAGCTGACTCCTAAAGTTTTTGATATTCTTCATATTCTGTGTGATGACACGCATCTTTTCAGTCAAATTCTTAAACTGAATCAGTCAATTAGAATAAGTCATTTGGGCTGTTACACAGAAGCTGCATTAAGGGGGCATTTAGATGCATTTACACACTGTTTAATGCAGGACATGAATGTATTTAACCTGCAGTTACAAATGCATTAATACTGTTTTGATATTTTAAACAAAATGTTGAATACTGATATTTGAAATTATTTTAAAAAATGAAAAGATACTTTAAATGTGAAATTAAAACTGCCAGTAGGTGGCAGCAAGTCACTGTTAATTAGCGAGTCATTGCGACTGAACCGAATCATTTAAACGGTTGATTCATTCAGGAACAAAACAGTGTCACGTTGCTCAGAGATGCAAATTGAAATTATATTTGTTGGCGAAATAGACCAAACACAGTCAATATTGTGTCTAAAACGTAAGTATCTTAATATTAAATTCTTGTTTATTGAACTGCTGTATAAAATCAGTATCACATTTGTAATCATGCTGCTTTTTGGTGGAAAAAACGTCAGTCTTCGCGTGATACTGATTAACTATATGAAATGATATAAATATATACATTTCTGCCCCCATATCTTGAATTTTGTGATCATTCTAAATGCATTTTAATAAACTGAATCATGCTGTGAAAGAACGTGCACTGGTCTAACCTACTAGACTTCCTATTGCTTTAGCTAAACTTTAGATAACTTGGTAGCTCTCATGAATGAGTCATGGGCAGGATAATTAGCTGTAAATTCGAGGCACAGGTCTGTTGTTCATCACCACTCACCTCCACACCAAGACAAACACAGCTGGAAAGGGAGGGAGGGCTTCACTTCTGCGGCTCTCTGCATGTCTGTGACCTGATGTGCAGCTGATCAATGTGTGCTACCATAGGGGAGGGTGAACCAACTCCAGGGTAAGGCTAAAAGCAGTCAAATCTATTAACTACAAACATCATAAACCTGTCTTTTTAGGCAACAAGTGTAGGCTAATAAAATATGTTTAATGGGACTGAATTTGTATTTAATGTGATGACAATTTAATTAAAACATTAGAAATTGATAATTGTATAATGTTTCCTTCCCACGGTTATTCAAACGTGTGTAACGTGCATAACAATAAATTATGTACAGAAATGACATTATCACTGACTTTGATCTATCGCACTCTCAAAAAAACAAAAGTATCGTTATAATCACTGAAGCTGTCTACACTAAGAAATGAATCCCTTACTTACATTGTATGTACCTCTGCTCTTTGTTGTTTATGATGAGAGCTGATGAGTTTCAGCGATGACTCATCTGAACGCCTCTGATTGGACATTGCATTCCTAAGCTCAACAGAATCGTGTGTGATATGCATTACTTTTAAAAGTAACTTTCCCCAACACTGACTACAACATTCAACATGTGACATCCATTCAGTGCAATAAATGGCTCACACATGAGTCACTTTTGAGTAAATAGCAAATCCTTCTGACAGAAATTAATCAGTTTCTTCTGCAAAGTTATTAAAAGAGTTAAAAGAGTCTAAGATCAACTCAGACTGTGTCGACACAGTCTGAGTTGATCTTAGAGTTGAACAAAATAACTGACAATACATATCAAAAAACGAAATGAATCTCTTACTTACATTGTACGTATATCTGCGCTTTGTTGTTTATGATGAGAGAATTTGCAAGAGTCCGGAATTCAGTCAGCGAACGCGCGCGCACTCAACAAAACTGATCTGTTTCAACAATGACTCATCTGAACGCCTCTGATTGGACATTGCATTCCTAAGCTCAACAGAATCGTGTGTGATTGGTTGTAATGCACAACACTGTAAAAACACCTAAAATGAAATACGGTGCAGCATGAGCAAATCTTAATGTAATGCGCAGTCGACACTTTCTATTAATTTACACTTTGGTTGAACAAAATAACTGACAATACATATCAAACAAAGCAAAAGAACAGCGCAATGGAGACACAGGACAAGTTATTGTCTTTTTCACTTTAGGTTATAATCACGAAGATGTGCAATTAAGAAAATGCACACTGTTCAACAAAATGTAAGGTTATTTGAAATGCCGTCTGCACCATTTAAGTGCTGAAACAAAGCTGGTCGACTCAAGTCAGGTCATGCAAATCATATGTGACCCTGGACCACAAAACCAGTCATAAGTAGCACGGATCCAGCCCAGACCCGTGGCCTTACACATGCTCCGCCTACAGTGCTACACTGCTATGCTGCGTGGAGACACGGAGGGAGAAGGGCATCGGAACTCGACAGTCTCAACATTTCCTGACCTGATATTTAGATTTTTAATTTGTTTGACAAGGACAGCTGTGCGCAAACAGAAACACACACACGCACACACACATATATATATATATATATATATATATTAAAAAAAACTCCCCAGAAAAAAGGGCACTTTCTCTGGAGGAAGAAAAAGGGCGGGTGCTCAAGCCCCCTTTGATGTCTATGTGTGCACGTGCCTGTGTATTGAGATGCATAGCAGCAGTGAAGGCTTTATGCTCTAGTTCAGACTACAACCAGTGTTGGGGGTACCGCATTACAAGTAACGCGAGTTACGTAATCAGATTACTTTTTTAAAGTAACTAGTAAAGTAACGCATTACTTT